GGGCACGTCCGCTGCGCGTCACCGGCCGCCCGCACCGAGACCCGGCCCGCTTCGGGCAGCTCACAGGTGTGGACGGCGGCTTGAAACCTCCACACCTGGATTTTGTTGTTTTTTTTTTTGTAAATTCACGGTCAGTCTCTTGGATCGTTGAATTCTCGTCATAACAGATCAACTTCCAGCCGCAGGTGCTTTCGGCGTTGCGACGGGAGATTTTAAACACTTAACCCGGCTCATCCGGCTGGCTGCCGGCTCCACCAGCCCGGCGGTCTCGCCAAAGCCCGGCCAAAGTAATGAAAGCTGCCCGTCGTGTCGGCCGGGCAAGACTGTCCGAAAGACGAACTTGGCTCAATAATGCCGAGAGCTCCGGCTAAACGAGCAAACGGGGTGCCCGGGCCTGGTCTCAACTCTGAAACTTTTCTCCCGTTACCTCCGGCGACTGCAGCAGTTTGAGAGAAAATCGGTGAACTGCCCTAGAGAGCAGACGTCCTCCTGCGGCTTCAATACTCAAACGTTGCACCTTTTGTCGCCAGAGCTGCGTGTCGCTTTGGGCTCCGAACCCGACCGGAGCAGCAGGACCCGGAGTTCGGCTTTAGTCTGCTACAGTTTCTCGACGCCGGACGCCGCCGAGAAGCGGTCAGCTCACGACAAAACGAGTTCGACCCGTCTTACCCGGGACCGGAGTGCGGTCGCTCCCCTTGCCGCGGTCTTACTCCGAGAAGAGAGCGGCTTTTTCACGGGACTGGATGCAGACGCGACCGGCAGACGCGACTCAGCCACAAAAGCAGAAAGCAGCCTAAGAGCCGCGCTCTCTACGCCGGCACGAAAACAAAGCTTTTAAAAGATTGGAATAGGCGAAGAAAAACCCGCCACCCCACCACCGACTCGTGATATCTCCTCCCCGCAACAAAGAGCGACCGACGGAAGGCTTATTGTCCGCCCGGCTGTGCTGTCGGAGCCCAAGCCGGCGATGGTGGCCCCGCCGCCCGCCTCAGTGTCCAACTTTACCTCGGGGCTTCTCTCCGCTCTCCGGTCCGCCTCTCCGCCGCAGCGAGATCCTCTCCCAGCAGCTCACTGCACAGCGAGGGGGGGGGGTCTTCGCGGGGATTATATACAGCTCAACCTCCGCCTGACACCACTGTCGGCTACAATCTCGCTCAGATGTTGAAGCTGAAGCCTCTCTCCAGCGCAGACTTGCAAAATACTCCACCTCCTTCGCTGCTTGGTTTTGCTAACGAGGGGACGGAGGATTTTTTAAGGTCGCCATTTGTAGGACCCCGCAGGCGAACGGCGAGGGCGCCTAAGCTGCTCCCTGGCCAATCACAGCGCAGGAGCGCCGCGAGCCCGAGGCTGAGACTGGCGAGCTGCGCGCGACGTGCGGGGGGCGTGGGCAAGACGTTAAAGGAAGGAGAATGTGTTTCGCGTCATCAAGTGTTTAAAAAAAACAAATCTTATACCGCATCTTCTCTAATACCATTGTCAAGTGATTTGATTCGGTCTGATACACCCTGCACTTTTAAACTTTGAAGTGCTTAGAGTTTACTGCATATTCTTTTGACGTACCTGTTTATGTTAAGCAAAACAATTCCACTGATATTCCCTGACCGGTAACAGATTAGAAAAAGGCTGCAGTGAAAACTATTGCTGTCCACGAATGGCAGAGGGAGAGCAGAACTCTGAATGGGCATTCTGAATGCTGAACAATTTACCTAGTTTATAGGCGTACTCTGTACGGTAAAAATGTGTAATATATATATAGTATATTTGTATCGCCCCTGCCTGTGAGTTTGTAGTGTGTCCAAGACGCAGAGAAATCCCTGCCCGGGGTGAACTATGCACCCAAGACCGAAGTCAGTTTTGTTTACAGCCAGCACATAAGGGATGCTTAAAGAATAAGGTAGTTGGTCAACACGAATAAATAAAGGCCGCAAAAATGCAGTCATTTCATTCCACCGGTACTGTCCTGCTCGTCCAGAAATTCAACAGGAACGAAAGCCCTGCGCGCTGAATTCGAACCCCAGTTTACAGGACATCAGGAAAAGAGCCTCGCTAGCGCTGTGCACGTTTTACTGAACAAGAAAGCGCTTGTTTGGGTGGTGGGCTGCCGATATTGAAGGGAGAGAGGTCGCGCACGCCCCCTCCGTGCACTAGGGGGCGCCAGCGAGCCAGACACGCAGCTGCTCGGCGTCGGGGTGCCATGGCAACCGGGGCAGCCGGTGCATTGTGGGAGCGCGGCGCCGCCAGCGAGCGGGCCGGCGGGACAGGAGGCGCTCAGGGACAGACGCGCTGCGATTAGCGGAACCGCGGAGGGGAAACCGCTACACAGTCGAGTGGATTCGAGAGGTTCGTGTCCGTCGCCGAGCCCGGCGGGCAGGGGGGTTCGGCCGGTTCGCTCAGACGCCAGGCGAGGTGAGCTCCGCGGTCCGGCCGCTGCCCGCGCTCTGCAGGCGGCTGCAGTCGTCTCGCACACCCCCTCTGGCCTCGGCTTCCTTCACCACGCAGAGCCGGCAGAATTGACAAGACGCTTGGCCGTTGCTCTAGCCCGCATTCCTCCCAGAGTGGGACAGCGCTGCTTTCAGAGGGTGTACAGTACAGTGCCACCTGCTCTCCAGGCACTGGACTGTCCAAACAGAAGCTCATCACTTCTGACTAAAACATAAAGTTCCTTCAGAGAAACGGCTTGGGTGCAGCCCTTCCGTTTGACGCCGCAGAGCTGACGCGGGGACACTCGTGATGCTGACCATGTCGTTGAGGGCGATTCAGCTGGACTGGTCAGAGAGTGTGGTCACCAGCCGCCGCAGGGCAGAGACAGAGGAGCAGCTCTGCGGGCTTCTGTCCCGCTGTCCCCTGGAGCCCGAACACCGGTCAGCCCAGCTCGCCCCACTGTCAGGCAGGGGGCCCTCAGTGCAGCCGGCTGTCCCCTCCTCGTCTCTCACGAGCTGGGTGAGGACAGGTGCTGTCCGGCTGGCGGTCACCTCGTGTCCCGGCCCCGATCAGGGTGGTGCCCTGCGGTCAGGCTGTCCTCAGGCCCTAGCAGTGCGGCCCTGTAGTGACTGGACTCTCCTGGCCCGGCCCCCACACTCGGCCCCCCGTCCATCAGCACAGGGAGCCGCGACTCCGGGTCTCCTGGACGGCGGCCTTCCGCTGACGGGCTGTGATCTCGCACCAAGCTGATCTGAGGAGAGTGACGTCATCGTTTTCTAGCAGGCACACTGAAATTGTCTTGAACAGAGCTGGCGCAGGTGAAATCACTGGTCAGGGGTGTTGACGTCTGTCGGTCTGTAGTGGCTGGACTCTCCTGCCCTGACCCTCACGCTCGGACTCTCCGCTGACTGAGTTCGAGCGGGGGGCCGTGTCAGCACGCTCAGGCTGCAAGGGAACAGGTAAAGGTTTATTCCCCGCGGGGGAGGGAAAAAGAGGCACAACGTTTCGGCTGTGGAGCCTTCTTCAGGTGTCGCCACGGCCGAAACGTTGCGTCTCTTCTCCTTTCAACGTGGAATAAGTTTTGGGCCGTTGTGCACCACAGTCAGTGTGTCGTCCAGCCCCTCGGTGCCACACTCTCCGACCCTTGACCTCTGGTCCTCACTGAAGAGGCCCTGACTCCCTCCTGATGAGTCTGTCTGAGGTGACTCAATCCAGCCTCCAAGTCCCCGATGAGACCGAGGCCTCTCTCTGGATAAGGTTCCTTTGTGTGGCCTTTCTTCAGGCCTGTTGCTCACGGCGGGTGAGATCAGCTCTGTAGTGGCCTCACTGACGAGGTGACGGGCTCCTGCAGCAGTCAGAGGAGCCTGGCTGAGTCACGCTCATGACTGAACAGAGAATTTAAGCAATACCCCTAATCTGTAGGCTGTGTTCTTAAAAAAGGATGAGAAATTTGGCAGCAGGTTTCAGAAGTTCAAGTAGGGAGCTGTGTCAGCATGTGTAGGCTGCAAGGGCTCAAGTACAGGTTTATTCCCTGCTGAAAAGAGAAGGATTCCTCTGTCAGTCGCAGGATACGAACCAGCAACCTTCCAGCCACAGGCGCAGATCCTTAGACACAGAGCCACCGCTCCGCCCCTAGAGAGAGGTTAGTTCATTCAAACGTTAGTTCATTGTTTTTCTTCTCCTTTCAGTTGTTTCTTATATTGCTGTCTGTGTAATCAGAAAGACTTGAACCAGGCTGCAGCTGGACTGATGTCTGGATGTCAGGAGCAGAGCAGGCCATTTCAAATGCAACACAGACTGAGTCCTCTCTCCTCTCTCCTCTCTCCTCTCTCCTCTCTCCTCTCTCCCTGCCTCAGCTGTCCTGTGCGCGAATCAGCTTCGTCTAGGAGCCCCGCCTTCGGCTGCCGCGCCGTGCCGACCGCGAAGATGCAGGGGGGCCCGCCGCGGCTGGGGTCCGAGCCCAGGAGGGTCCGCTCGGAGAGAGGCCGGGGCAGGTGAAGCTCTCGCTCGCTCGCGCTCTCAGATACAGCCTGGGTCCCTGCTGTGGTTTGAGTAGTGTTGCTCCTTCTGGAGTCAACGACTGATGGACCAGAGTGGTGGGGTTCTTCATATTATTATTATTATTATTAATAATAATAATAATTGCTTACACTTCTATAGCTCTTTTCTGGACACTCCACTCAAAGCGCTTTACAGGTAATGGGGATCCCCTCCACCACCACCAGTGTGCAGCCCCACCTGGGTGATGCGCCAGTCCTCTCCCCACACACCAGCTCTCAGTGGGCAGGAGAGCAGAGGGATGAAGCCAGTTCAGAGAGGGATTGTTATTAGGAGGCCATGACTGGTTAAGGCCAGGTGGAAATGGGGCCAGGATACCGGGATAACACCCCTACTCTTTTCGAGAAACGCCGTGAGATTTTTAATGACCACAGAGAGTCAGGACCTCAGTTTTTATGTCTCACCTGAAGGACGGTGTCTTCTTACAGTATAGAGCCCCCATCACTATACTGGGGCAATAGGATCCTCACAGACCGCAGGGTGTGCGCCCCCTGCTGGCCCCACTAACACCTCTTCCAGCAGCAGCCTTATCTTTCCCAGGAGTCTCCCCTCCAGGTACTGGCCAGGCTCACACTGCTGGGCTTCAGTGGGGCTGCCAGTTGTGAGTAGCAGGGTGATATGGCTGCTGGCTTCTTTTTGTGCTGTTGAGCCTGTGTATCTCCTCGAGAGTCCTAGCAGGGCTGCACGTGAGGCACTGATGTGTTCCTCTGCGCCCCTCTGGTCTGTGTTGTTTCAGTGGCGTCCAGGCAGCCCGGGCTCAGCGGTGCCCTCTGACTGGCAGCGTGCTTGGCAGTGCCCGGCCCCCGGGGGCCCGCAGGGTCCAGTACAGAGTGGGGTACACCTGGAACAGGGGAGGCCGGCTGAAGGAGCTCAGGATCAGGTGCGCCCGTTATTATTACTTCTCTGTATTAAATTAAAAGATAACACTAGCCCTCATGTTTTAAATAGCATTGGAGTAAGCCCCATTACGGTCCAAGGTATTGTCCTGCGCTGGCTTAATTTGTTGGGTTGTAAATAATAATAATAATAATTGCTTACACTTATATAGCGCTTTTCTGGACACTCCACTCAAAGTGCTTTACAGGTAATGGGGATCCCCTCCACCACCACCAATGTGCAGCCCCACCTGGATGATGCAACGGCAGCCATAGTGCGCCAGAACGCTCACCACACACCAGCTCTCAGTGGGGAGGAGAGCAGAGTAATGAAGCCAGTTCAGAGATGGGGATTATTAGGAGGCCATGACTGATAAGGGCCAATAGGAAATATGGCCAGGACGCTGGGGTTACACCCCTAAATAGTCATATCCTTTCTCTGAGCCTTTCTGTGCTCAAGACAGACCTGCTGTTCATAATGCATGTGAACTCACTCCTCCAGAGCTGCGTCTCGGGTTAAGACTGCGTGTGTTAAGACTCAGAAGCAGCCCTGATCCGGACTGTTGATGCCTCCTGTCTCCTGTCTCACAGACATCTCGCAAGGAAGTTCCTGTACCTGTGGATCTCCAGGACGTTCGGCCGAGTCCGGCCCTCGAGAGCCAGGTACAGTTCTCACTCCCCCAGGAGCCCACACACGCTGAGCGCACAGGGTGGGACTGCACCCCACCCTCCACAAGAATATACAGCATCATGCCTTTTCTCCACTATTAGGAATCGGTAGCTATGTAACTGTCCAGCAGCCATATTACTCTGCAGCTCACAACTGGCAGCCCAATAAAGCTCAGCAGGTTTTAATCTAGCCAGTACCTGGATGGGAGACCTCCTGGGGAAAAACTAAGGTTGCTGCTGGAAGAGGTGTTAGTGGGGCCAGCAGGGGGCGCTCACCCTGCAGTCTGTGTGGGTCCTAATGCCCCAGTATAGTGACGGGGACACTATACTGTAAACAGGCGCCGTCCTTCAGATGAGACATAAAACCAAGGTCCTGACTCTCTGTGGTCATTAAAAATCCCAGGGCGTTTCTTGAAAAGAGTAGGGGTGTAACCCCGGCGTCCTGGCCAAATTTCCCATTGGCCCTTACCAATCATGGCTTCCTAATTAATCCCCCTCTATGAATTGGCTACATTACTCTGCTCTCCTCCCCACTGAGAGCTGGTGTGTGGTGAGTGTACTGGCGCACTATGGCTGCCGTCACATCATCCAGGTGGGGCTGCACATTGGTGGTGGTGGAGGGGATCCCCATTACCTGTAAAGCGCTATATAAGTGTAAGCAATTATTATTATTTTTTGGTTCCGATTCTCTTTGGAATCACCAGGATGAGGCCAGTCACTGGTGCTCCTGCTCCACATGGGGTGATGCCCTGGCTGGCTCGAGCCCCATCCTGCTCTCAGCGGGCCAAGAACCAGCAGTGCCTGGGCTGTTGGGCTCAGCCCGGCCTCTGAGCAGGAGTGAGGACCCAGATGCATTGTGTGACTGGACGGATTCTGGTGCTCGTAGGCCCTGGGCACTTTCACGCCGAAATGTGCAAATACAGGGGTAAACGCCAACTGAAATCCATCGATGGCCATGATGCAGTTTGAACTATTCTCATGCTAAACCACCTGGTTGATGGATCAAGTTTCTAGAACAGCCGCTAGAGAGTGTAGGATTATTGATTTGGAGCTCCTAGAGTCGATCGCAAGCGTGTTGTTTCAGCTCGTTTTTCGTGAGTCACTGGTGTTTCCCTCCTTCGTAGGCCCTAAAGATTTCGTAGGCCCTCGGCACTGTGCCTGCAGAGACTAAAGGGAAATCCGGCACTGACTGTTGCACTAGAGGAGTTGCACTGGCAGAGCAACAGCGTGATTTTGTTTTGTTTGTTTTCTTTGTTTGCCTCCCGGGATTTCTGTCCCACCAGGCTGGCCGGAGGTGGGTGAGCTCTTGGCAAGTGAGTGGGGGTTCATTTTCTCCTTCTCCTGCACCTTTGTGTTTGATCTCAATACCCTCCCTGTCAGAGGAGCGGGCAATGCAGTGTGGCGCATGTGCCCGTCCCTCTGTCCCCGGGGGAGCTCTGGGATTGGTATCCCAGCGCCCCCAGCTCTCCCAGTGTCCCCAGGGGTACAGTATTATACAGCGCCCCCAGAGCTCTGCAGTCTGAGCCACCGTGGGCTTCGTCTGCCGATACAGCCTGCTTGCAGTGTGCTTGCCTGCACGGGCTGCTCTTTGCATCCTCAGTAAAATCTGTTCAAGAGCACGTTCGACGGGAGTCAGGTGCCCCGCCAGGAGGGCACATCCGGCAGACTCCCGCGCCCCCCCCTCGGCTCGCAGGGCCCAAGCCAAGCCTGCGCTTCGCTCTGTGGGCTCTGACTTCCTCCCTCTGCTTGCTGTGTCTGTCCCCTGCAGGGCCCGGCACAGCCGCGGCGTGGTGCAGAGGGCGTTCGCCGGCTGGAGGGAGGAGTGGTGGGTGGCGAGGAGGGAGTGGACGCTCTCCGTGCGAGCGGACTGTCACTACAGGTGAGCAGCTTGGTCCCGGAGCAGCGGACGGAGGTGCCCAGCAGCTCCCCCTGCTCGTGACCCGTGGCGTTGTGACGCCGGTGCTTGCCATCGGAGTGATCTTATGAAGCATGAGTTCATGGATTGACTGATGGACATGTTTTCTGTCTGATGTCTTCCAGGTTGAACCTCTACAGCCTGGTGTTCAGAGGCTGGCAGCAGTACCTGCTTCTGCGGAGAGCAGAGAAGAGGCAGTTTGAGAAAGCCGCCCGGCATGGTAACAATAACAACAGCAGTGTATTGCAGTGGGGGCTGTGTGGTGGATGTGCGCGGCGCTGCCTGCTGTCGTGTCGGCGACGTTGACCCGCCTCTCTCTCTCCCCCCCCTGCTGTCCAGACGGCGGGCGGCGCCTGCGCGGGGCCTGGGAGAGCTGGCAGGTGTATGTGACGCTGCGCCGGATCAAGCACGGCATGCAGGCCCGGGCGCAGGGGCTCAGGGACCACACGGCGCTGCGGTGAGCTGGGGGGGGGTCGGTCGGGTCAGGAGGGCGCGGTTCCCAGGGCAGCTGCAAGGCCTGCTGGGCCGCTGTTCCGCCGCCAAAACTGCCAGCTCTGTCCAGGACTGAGCGGGTTCTGTCTGCTGTACTTCTGAACCGGGAGTTTCTTTTGAACCGTCGGCCGATAAAGCTGAGAATGGCCCGTTGAGCTTCTGGTTAGCTCTGTCGAGCAGCAGCAGCTCTGGGGAGGCAGAGTACTGCACAGCTAGGTGGCGAAACGCGGCTCGTGTGTGCAGGGGTCCGCAGGTCTTGTTCAGACCTGGTCTCCGGGTGGGGGATTCTGCCCGCTGTGAGGCGAGCCGCTGCTCAGGCCTGACCAGTCGATCTGTGTGTGTGTGTGTGTGCTTCACAGAGCCGCGTGGGCGGAGTGGCGGTGCCAGATGCAGCGGAGGCAGGGTCAGTGGGAGATGGACGCCTGCGCTCTCCAGCACTGGGCCCAGGCACTGCAGATCCGGGTGAGCAACGCTGGCACGCCAGCCTTCCAGGCACAGGACGCGTGGAAACACAGGTGTCCTAATGTGTCCTAATGTGTCCTAATGTGTCCTAATGTGTCCTAATGTGTCCTAATGTGCCCGAATGTGTCCCAATGTGTCCCAATGTGTTTCCCAGGCTTGGCTGCAGTGGAGAGAGCAGTACCTCCAGGCCGTGCAGCAGAGGGAGACAGAGAGCCGGGCGCTGCTGCACTATCACCACCGGCTCCAGACCGCCGCCCTGCAGGCCTGGGCTGCGTACTGTCAGCACCGCCGGGGCAAGAGGGAACTCAGCGGTGAGTGAGACACCTGGCACTCAGCCTCAGCATCTTTGACAGGTCGAATAGTTTTGAAATGCGCCACAGGTGAATATTTCTGATTGCGTTTAGGGCAGGGTCTGGCTAGAGTTAGCGCAGCAGGCAGAGAGACACTCCAGAAATAATATCCACACAGATTCACAACCCACTAGCTGTTATAGTCTCTCTCAATTACTACAATACCCGTAATGTTTGCCAATTAAGCTTTAACTGGACTAGTTTAAGCTGTCTGATCAGGTCTTAATTTGTCATGAAAGTAGTTACCAGCAGGTCTTGGAGGGGCGCGTGGGCTGCAGGCGTGCTCAGACCCGGCTTGACCTGTGTTGCAGGTGTGGCGGTGCGGGCCTGGCGCCTCTCTGTGGCCAGGAGCTGCTGGTGCGAGTGGCGGCAAGCCTGCCAGCGGCGACGGAGCGAGAGAGACCGGCAGGAGAGCGTCGCCAGCCTGGCGCAGCGTGGCATCGCCCGGAGAGCCCTGACCCGCTGGAGAGGCTGTATCCGACTGTTCCCGGGTCAGAAATAAGCCCTACTGAGGCTTCATAGCAGTATTATAAATCCTGGAAGATGCTGACAGAGTCAAGCCTATGAGCTGCTTCAGGGTCTCCAGTGGAACCCCCAGTGGAAATGACGAGAAAGAGGATAGGATGCCCTTTGCACAAAGGGTTGTGGGTGACTGGAACAGGCTACTCAGCCCTTTTGCTGTAAGCCGACTTCCTTGGATCTTTGAAGATCCGTCTGTATGACATATTTGGATCAACTGGCTGCCAGAAGAGCTAGCTGGACTGAGTGGCCTCTTCCCGTTTCTTATGTTTTCCGTCCATCCATTTTCTTAAGTTTCCTTGTGTTTAGATCCCAGGTCTCATTGAGGGGGAATCAATGGAATATATGTTTGCAGGAATGATGCGCTGCCCAGAACAGCCATCTGGTTTAGACCTTGTGCTGACAGAGCTGTAGCCATACAGCAGCGAGCAGTGAGCAGGGTGGGCTGTGGAGAATTGTGCCCAGTTCCCGGCACTGTGAGGGGTCGTGTCTGGGCTCGGCAGTCCACTCACCGTGGTCTATATACAGACTGGTACCTGGCGGTGTTTACGCCCCCGCAATCCCTCTTTGCTAAGGAGTGTGCTGCTCGTTCCTGCGTTGTTCGGTCCCTTGACTTGGCGATAAGATGTGGCTCTGTGCGCTGAAGAGGCAGAGAGACACAGGACCGCAGAACAGCACTACAGGCGCCAACTTCTGGTAAGATCACCACAATGCAGAATATTATTATAATTCTCATCATCCTGAGAGCTACAAGAGTGCCAGTCTGGATAGAACATTTGCCCTGCTGATATCTTCTTAATCAAAGAGACATGTCTGCGCTACTTATTGTGCAAAACACCTGTTTACCCTGCTGCCCATCTCTCTCCATACCCCTCCCTGTGCCCCCCACAGCGAGCTGGGCTGCGGGCGCTGTCCGAGAACGCCGCACGCAGCTGCCTTCGCCGGGTGATGACGAACTTGGCCGCACAGCACCGCAGCGCCACGGTCAGTGCTCCCACGCAGCAGATGTGTGGTGGGTGTGCCCAGGTGGGCACTGGCGTCGGGCTCACCTGTCACCTGTCTGTGCTCCGCAGGTGACGCGCAGGTTCTGGAGGCGCTGGCGTTGGCGCTGCGAGGAAGAGGAGGAGAGGAGACTGCTGCCTCTGACGCTCCGGGCGTTGGCACACTACAGGTGGGGCACACACACACACAGACTGACTGGTGGACCAAGCCCCGACTTGCCCACTTTGGACATCGGGCTCCCAGTACACTCTTTGACCCATTTTAGGGTTCAGCACTTACAGGGGCTCTTGTATCACAGGAGAAATTGAGAGTTTGTTTTGCTATATAGACTGTGTTTGTGCAGATGTCCAGGTGAAGTTGAACATATGGACTTTCCGGTCCGTCTGTGTAGTTTCTTAAGTGAAAGCTGCAGTGGATCAGATCGCTGGAGTCTGGTCTGGTTCTCCATTCTTGATCACTATTCTCCATTATCCAGGGGTTTTATGAAGTGCTGCCGCGATTAATCGATGTAATCGACTAATCGACACAAAAACAATAATCTAGTCGTATTTTCTTAATTGACTAATTGCCCCCCTCCCCCAAATTGTTCGCCGTTAATGGGATGCTACGATGCTCTGTACAGATTTTGAGTAGGCTAATCATGGCAGCAGCTGCACCACATTCTGCTGAGGAAGGTCCCTCGACCTTATCGATAGATAGGCTAGCTAAATACGATCAACTAGTCTGCACTTACTAGCCTTATTACGACAGAATTTGATATTCTTATATACCCCTCTCCTGATCGGTACCTTTCAACAATAAGATCCCGTAGATGTTTTGTCAGCTCCTTGCGGACCGTGGCTATCCCAGAAGGATGCAACCACTAAAGTTTCAAGGAAATCCTACAGGAACAGCTGATTTTTATTTGGGGTTCATCAGAATCACATTCATTGATGGCAGGTGTATGCTGCTTACCTTTGGACATGATTTTGAATGTGATTGCTTAATTCTGAACACAGCTACAGCCCCCATTATAAAAGGGTGTGCACACTTATGCAACCAAGGTTTTTTTATTTAAATTATTTTTCCTATTCATTATCTATTTGTTTTTTTCTTGAATTTTGTTGGTTGCAAGGTCATATTAAAGATGGAAAACTGTCTTGACATGATTTGCTATGATTTCTGGCTTTACATCACAAAAACCTGCAATTTCAATAAGGGTGTGTAGACTTTTTATATCCACTGTTTGCCAGGGGTCGACAACTTGTGGCTCTTTAACTGTCACCTGGTGGGTCCAAAAGAAAAATACAAATTTTAAATATAGCGAAGAACAGAGGATTTTTGCTGGTTTAAGAATGCGCATGTTACACCTCTGTTGTAGCCTACTGTTTAAGACAGTTAGCTGGTGTCCTTCCAAAAAGAGAAAAATTGGCGATGGACGCCAAGAATTTAAAGATGATTTATTCGCGTTTATAGTCGGCCCTGCTCGTTTCCATTTATATTTAACGTGTGACAAGAAATTGTCAAGCAATAAGAAATCAGATGCTGAGAGAAATTGCAAAGAAAGGATAAACAGTCGCACTGAAAAGGTAGGGCTAAATAATGTTTAATGTTTGAATGTGATGAAGGCAAACGCAAACAGCGGTAATTAAAGAAAAAAAGATTGCTTGTTGTGCAGACATTGCCTTCGCAATGGAGCACGAGCCTGTACCAGAGTCTGCAGTGCCAAAATTAACTGTTACAGAAATGTTTAACTTTTCATATATACAGAATTATTTCACGCATTGCGGCTCCAAAGGTATAGTATATTTGTTCCACCAGTCTTCTCTTCAAGAGATATGAGCTGCTGTCCCCTGCCCTGTGCTTTCAGTTGGTATAATTTTATACTTTACAGACATTATTTAGCCTCTTCATGCCTATTTAACAAGATACGTAGTCGAGCCAGCCCCCTCGGATTCAGAAACATAATCTAGCAGCTGTACTCACGATGTCTATGAATAAGCATGTATGTAAATCGCAGTTTAATATGGAAAACATTCATGTGCCTGCTTGCATTACTTGGAAGAAATTAGTTGTTAGATTGATCAATTAATCAATAAATATAGTTGACGGATTGTTTTCGAAATCATTGTTAGTGGCAGCCCTAGTTTCATGAATGCTGCACGTGTTAACGTGTGTTTTTAATTCTGTGATCAGGACCCGGTTGCTGAAGAAGGCACTTAGATGCTGGGAGGAGTACATGAGACTTTGCAGATGCAGACAGGTGAGCAGGGCAACAGGCCTCACCCTGCAGCACTGAGCATCTTCGCAGCTCACAGCCCCTAACATTTGTGCTCCCCTGCTGGAGGCCACTGTGCAGTACGACTGTATTCATTCACTGTGGAGTACCGGTTCGCTGGAGCTGGAGTATGATACTATACAATTCAAGTTTAAGTTTGTCATTATACTCATATACAGGTATATGGTATAAAGAAATGCTATTTAGCTAGATCTCAGATGGTAAGCAGTACAAAAAAAAAACAATACAATTGTATTGTTGGGGCGGAGCGGTGGCTCTGTGGCTCAGGATCTGTGCCTGTGGCTGGAAGGTTGCCGGTTCAAATCCCGCAGCCGGCAGAGAAATCCTACTCCGTTGGGTCCCCGAGCAAGGCCCTTAACCCCAACTGCTACAGGGGCGCAATGGCTGACCCTGCGCTCTGACCCCCAGCTTCTCTCCCTGTCTGTGTGTCTGTGTGTCTCATGGAGAGCAAGCTGGGGAATGCGAAAAGACAAATTCCTAATGCAAGAAATTGTAAAGGGTTAATAAAGTAATGTTATGTTAAATGTTATGTATAATCATACATCAACAGAATGAAATGAAGAATAGAAAATTATGGGGAGTGAGCTTCTTGACATGTGAGATAGAAGCATTTCAATGTGTGTTTGAGTTTTGATAAAGAGAGAAGGCACTGTGAGGGTTCAGATCGTAGGTGGGAGAGGCTGGGAGTTCAATAGTTTGAGAGTGCGGGGGTAAACACTGTCTCCGAGTCTGGTAGTCCGGGCCCGAGTGCTCCGGTACCGTTTTCCAGATGGCAGAGGGACAAACAGTCTGTAGCTGGGGTGTGGGGCGTCTTTGATGATGCTTAGAGCTTTCCTCAAGCACTACTGTCATAAATGTCCTGGACGGATGGGAGAGCAACCCCAGTGATGGACTGGGCAGTTTTCACCACCCGCTGTAGGGCTTAGCGGTCAGCAATACTGCAGTTGCCACACCACAATCTCAGGACCTGTACTGGCTGCTATGAGGGCCTGGAGGAGGTGCAGTGAAAGTCCAGTTCTGTCTTCCCCCAGGAGCAGGAGCGCCGGGCGGACCAGCTGTTCAGCCGCAGGGCCCTGCCGCGCTGTCTCCGCACCTGGCAGGAGTTCACCGCGGAGCAGCGGGAGCGCCGGGAGCGCCGGGCCCTGGCCGCCAGCCAGCTGCGGTACGGGCACTCTCGCGCGCAGCCCGTACGTGCAGGTCTGCAGTGCCCGCAGCAGAGGAATAGTAGCGTGGCAATCGCTCGTGTGCGTTTGCCTTCTCAGCACTTCTCTGCACGAGAGCCTGCGGCACTGCTGCTAAAGAAATACCTGATTGTCTCATTGCTGATGCCTCTAGCTGGCCGCCGGGCCTGCGCTGACGGTCAGTGTCCTGTGTGTCTGCAGGCAGTGCAGGCAGGGCTGGGTCTTCTACACCTGGTGGGACAGAACGAGCCGGCACAGGGAGGAGCGGCTGTCCGGGAGGATGGTAACCCAGTCGCTCTTCCAGAGCGTTTTCAAAACTCTGCCGTCCTGCGTGCTCGTGCCTCAGGCTGATGGCGGCGCGTCTCTCCGGCAGGCCGTGCTGCACGCGGAGAGGGCCGCGCTGGGCCGGGCGTGGGCCCTGTGGCGCCAGCGCACCGCGGAGAGGGCGGAGGAGAGGCGCGGGGAGGAGGCTGCGGACAGACTCCACCGCCGGACGCTGGGGCTGCGAGCGCTGAGGGACTGGAGGAGCAACGCTGCTGTCCTGAGAGCACTGTGAGAGAGGGGGGTGCTGGGAGCAACTAAGAGAACTGCGCGCTGTTCTAAGCTCATGTTGTGTGTAAAATATATTTTAATCTCTCGCTTAGGAGGGCAGGTGAGGTCCTGGCAGTGAGACATGAGTATCGGCACTGCGTCAAACGAGCCTGGGGCCACTGGAGACAGGTGAGGAGCTCCTGGTAGAATCTTCTCACACAGTGCATGCTTACTCTGCTGTGGGATGTCTCTGGCAGGATCAGTTATACTGATTGCAGACACCAGGGGGCAGGCTTGTCTTGGTGACATCATCATGATATTGTGTCTTAGCCTGCCAGTGTGGTGCAGAACAAC